CTATATTAACATCCTTTCATTCACCGTAAATGGGTACATTGCACCACTTCTATCATACCTAAGTCCCATCTGTTAGGTGTGAGTCTATTTACTGAGAATTTTTGAACCTGAGACCTTTAGCTCAGCAATGTACAACAGAATAATGTAATTTATATCATCATACAATAATCAGGACATTCCATACAAACGTCATCTAATTTATAATGTATTCCGTCATAAGTACTCGAAGATGTGTTTAGAATTATATACAACAATTGTATAGAAACATATTTTAATAATTTAACAATAATTTAGTAAAAATGCATTGTTCGTTTAAATTTAATTCGACCGATAATTCAATTGTGTTCTGACGAAACAAAACCAAACATATAAATATCTATTTACTAAATACAAAGCATTGGTCTGTTGGCCAACATATTCAAATCATGTTAAGTATTAACTTCGACTCGTTGTCTACAAACTAGATTCAATGTCATTCTGTAAAAATGAAATGCAATATAATGTCATCGCACTATTAATACACGTTATACTACAATATTTGTCTTTACACTATATAAGCTTTTGTTTTGTACAATGCTATATATAATTATAATATTATATATAATTGCGTCGTGACGTCACCGCCGCGGCGCGGGGCTCGCTCTCAAGCAACCTATCTTACATACATACATTATTATATATTTATATATAGACGGGCAGACAGTTGTACCAACTGTTCATAGTAAATACAAACGATACAAATGATAGTCACATAGAATAGAAAAGATACCAAAAACTATGAGACATCACATTCATTTGACTTTTCTATTTTACTTTATTTGACTATAAATTATATAATTTGTACTCTGAAATGAAATAATGGGATTTTAAATGCTATTTTATGTTCCGCATCCATATCGTTATTAGTTGGGCTCCGGTTGAGCTTGAAATCGGTCGAGCTTCGACGTCGTTGATAATTGGGTTCTGGTCGACCTCGGTATAAGTCCAGTATTCCCGTAACACAATGATAAGTATCATCGAATTTAACTTCAAAATAAATGAATTTATTGTACAGATCGATAGTTCAGTATGGAATCTTTATATTTGCAAATAATTCACGCACACCACAAGTGACACAACTGTCTCCCGCCGACGACTGACACCATGACAGTCGTGTTGTGTCACTAGTTAGACAATTATAAGTCAAAATGGGTCGTGACTCATGAAATGGGAGGAGCCTGAACAGAGGCCGAGTACTTAGCGACTTCAGCAAGATATATGTACTATCTAAGATTATTAGACACCACTGACACACGGTGAAGGAAAACGTCGTGAGGAAACCTGGGCTTGTAATCTTTAATTATAACTGCATTGAGCAAGCGTGGTGATTATTGCTCAAACCTTCTCCGTGTGAGAAGAGGGCTTTGGTCAGCAGTGGGTTATATGTGGACGATGATGACGGTGACTACCTTACTAGTCCTAAGTCCCCGGCTCTGCTCACAGACAATAGAGTGAAGATACAGCAAGACATGTGTTAGTTAGAAGCATTACATTTATAACAGTAAGTAATATATTACATTTGTCATAGATCTACAACACGTAAGTATATTCACGAACCACCCCTAAACCGACCCCTTACTTGTACTGTTAGGTGTCACTTATGGATGGTTTCAACCAAAATGTGTTCTTATCTTAGGGGTTCCTTACAATTTAGGAGAGGTTGGTGAAGACCGCATGAGACTGCCTGTTAGAAGAATACATTAGTTTTGTACTATTTCATCTAAAAGGGGCGTGGTCTAGTACAGTAGGGGCGGAGCCATAATTATTACATTCTTTATTTTTACACCATGTTTGTCTCCTGTGTCATGTGTACGTTTACAACCACATATACATACACATCACACACAGACACGAAACTATTTGTAGATTACACAGAATTATTCTACAATCCGCTCTCGCTACCGCTTGTGATATGATCATAGCCTTAGTATTGATATAATAGACTTCATAGGCCTAAAACAATTGCTGTATACCGTCGACTATGTTGTCAAAGTAATTTGAACTTTACATCTGTTGATTATAAAGTTGGTTATGTGTTAGCAATCACATACTTCATATTATGTGCCTCTTTTAATCTCCGAAGGGGTAGACAGAGGTGTACTATACTGTACATATACAATGTAACACCCATTTTTCACTATTTATGTTATGAGTCCCATGTAATAGTGGGTGAGCCTATTGCCATATAGGTATCGAACACAATCCCAGACTTCGTGCTAAGTCGGAATTACTTCACAATGATTACAATTAGGTACATGTCCAGCCACTTACTTTGAAGTCGTAAGAAATAATAATAATATTAAATGCAAGAATTGTCCTTTATACACCGTGAAATGTATTTCGTTTTCGTCCCGAAGTAAAATGGTTATGTCTCGGTAATACAATAGTTTTACAAAGACAAAATAACTGGTGAACCATTGCATGAAACAAACTTCGAAAGCGCACACGAACTCACAGTACATTATCAAAACATCACGCCATGTCATTCTCTAGTAAACTAATAAAAAAGAACTCTTTATATTTTGTATTTACTTTATACATCGAAAGTACTCCTTATGGCGAGTTGTTTTGCCGCGGGATGAAAACGAAATAGATTCCACGGTATATGTACGTATGTAATTGTGTATGGACTTCATTTAGATATGTATTTCATTATTTCGTTGTCCAAAATGTATGTTTAAATATTTCTTCATCAATTTCTAACGGACAGTTGAAACTTATCTGAGATTTGCTTAGTAGAGACACGATCTATAACATTAATTGTAAGTGTGGGCTCGCCATGCTCCGGCACTGCTGGGCCGGCTCGACCGGAGTGATACCACCAACGAGCAGACAACCGTAGTGACACACAGCGGTGTGTGCAGGCGTGTGAGTGAAGTTACCGGAGACCCAATTACCCGTAGTAAAACTAATCATAGCAATTGGCGTTCTATAGTCTCTGCCTGCCATCGGAGACAGGCGTGAAGTTATGTACGTAAAAATTAAACCCAAAATATTTCCTTCAACACAAGATAACTGTTCGGTTTGAGTCTATCAGAACCAGACCTGACCGTACGGCGCCATCACAGATGGGGTCCAACAGGGCTGATGCCGATACAGAGCCGCGGAGAACCTAACGGGTTACCACGTCTCCGGCTCGACGTGCAGGAGTAGGAACGGGGTGGTTTTTAGTCAGTAAGAGTCTGACACTCCCTCTTGTCTAAAAAAACCTACACATACCCGGACACAGTGTCACAGATGTCTGACCTATCACCGACTATGGACTAAACAAACTACACGTTCGCTAGTCTCAAAATATCGAATCGAATAAATATTTCAGTGTTGGACAATCCGTTCATCGAGGAAGGCTGTAGAACATCACGCTACGATCAATAGGACCTGAGCAGCGGTCGAACGCTAGTGTATCCAACTGATTGTGTCTCTAGTAAGAAAATCGGTTAATGAAACTGACGACTGAAGTCTTTTCAATGAGAGATCATAATTACCCTCTCTTGTTCAATAATACAATAAAAAATCATATAAATCTAATCACCACATATGTATAATGGCACTCGTAAATAATTAATTTTAAAATTTGGACGTGACGCGTCATAATTACAGAAAACTTAATTTTATTGTATTTGGTATCGGAATTTCGATACCTTCAACCAATTTACATTGAATACAATTATACACTCCTACAAAGTATTGTGGGTAATTATAACGCTTTTTCGGTCTTTTTGGGTACCGGTATCGAAAATCCGATACATTAGTATTGTAATATTCGAGATACAGTCAGTAACTATGTGAGAGATCCAAAGAACACATTAACTATAATAATATGTAGTGACGTCAATTTGTTCAGAATATTAATTAAAGTGTTTGTCCTTTGTGGAAGTATTTTCATGGTTTTCTAACCGTTAACTTTACGAACGACACTTACGTAGTTCTTTAACACAATTGAGATTATGCCAACGTCATTTATAAAGGACATTTCTTGGCTACACTATCCTGGTGAATGCTTCACCTAATTTACACCCGAATACTGAAAAGCTACTCTATTTGAAGTTGTATTAAATATCGCGCCATCTCTGTCATTTTACAAAGAATGTGTAGCGACAGAACTATAGTTAGGTTGGTTTTAGTGTCGCGCTGACGGCACGCGTCCCTTCAGCGCTGATGGGACGACATATATGAACTTCTAAGAAGCGTTTTTGAATGACGTGTAGCTATCAGCGCGCACAGTGGTAACCGCTGACCACCAAGTTTATACATTTTGGCAATCAGCGCTGACAGTCAGCGTGCGGTCAGCGTAACACTAAAACCAGCCTTAAGCGCGACCTAAAACTGAGTGACGTTCCAGTATCCGGACATTAGGTACATTCCTAAGTGCAATGCTGTCTTTGTAATTACAAAGTGATTTTGTTTCATTTGTTTTTATTTGGCAAACAATTCTGTTTCTATTTTGTAATCTAACGAATTGACGTTTGACATAATAACACGTTTGTCAAATGCTGCCATCTATGTTGATGATGGAGCACTAAATATTACCTTACAATGGATTTTGAACGTTATTGCTCAAGACATAGAGATGAAAATTGTTCAATCTAGTATTCTAGTAGGGATGAAGAAAAATGGTCTTTAGTAGTATAGTAATAAGAGTGAGTCACAGTGCTACAGTTAATGTCTTACATTACTGGACCCGGGTATGTCCTGCCACTGTTCAAAGCCACCGAGGAATCTTCGGTGATATAAATGCAATCCCCAAGCAAATCGACAAGTGTGGGGATTATGATAAGACGCTCTTACAAAACTAGAATGTTCTTGTTTACAATGGTAGCTTCCCCAGAACAATCCCCAAACAAATCACCAAATGTGGGGATTAACGAAAACGCCTCTAAAGCGGTTGTAGTGGCTGATGATGATGATAGCCTATGTGTAGAGTGTAGCGGCGCCCCCTACCGGTGTGTGAAGATATGTTCTCAGAGGTCGGTCTCGGAGGCCTGCGTGTCTAGCCAGTGTCGGGGACGAGGCCTCCGACTGCGGCGGGAGGAAGTACTCTGTAATATAAAAAATATAGTTTAGAACATTGGGTACAATTGTTGAGTTCGGAGGTTTCTGGTTCAATCAAAGCGAACAGATATCGACACAGACGTATAATGTTAAAGCTTAACGGGCGCCTTCTGCTGGAGCAGGTCGGCTCGCTCACCGCGCTGTGGGCTGGTCCAGTAGTTGGTGGAAATGTAATGAACACGTATCGTGTACATGTAGACGGCAGACATAAAGTACTTTGTGTAAATAACGTGGTTGATATAGCACGGTAGGTTTTTAATAATTAATATTGAGTATAAAAAGAAGAAAATGTAATTGAATGACAAGGGCACGGACAAGAGGCCGTGGAGAATGAGAAAACTATGAAAAAAATGCGTAAAGCTTATGTCCGTTAAGTTAAGACAGACAGACGTGGTGATGTTAGAGTAAAACACATTAATCACCAGTCTTACACTTCTGGCGCCGTAAGGGCCGACTAAGGAACTACAGATGTAACAAAGACTGACCACCACGGATACAATTTCCTCCCACGGATCCTCTGATTGTGGAATGAACTCCCTGCCGAAGTTTTCCCAGTAGGCTACATCTACAACATGGGGTTCTTCAAGAAGGGTCGGTCTTCAAGTCGGCAAGATACATGCAATTCCCCGAGTGTTGCAGGCGTACATAGGCCACGGTAACCGCTTATCATCAGGTGGGCCGTGTGCTTTTTTGCCACCGTCGTGGTATAAAAATACCCTGTTTGCCAAGTGTGGTGATTTTTAAAAAACGTTGCCCCAGACCCGAAACAACGGTTTATCGATCAGTCAGTGTTGTTCGGTGCGGGAATCGAACCCGTGACACGTGCTAAGGAGTGGAGTTGTTTGAAGCTGGGTGTCGTGAAGGCCCGAGTACCTTGCGTCCGCTGGTGTCGGTGCGGTGGAGCGCGTCGTGCAGCGCGACGGCGTCCTCCATCTCGGCGGCGCTGCAGCCGCGCCCGGCCGCCAGCAGCTCGGCCTCGTCCACGTCGTGGTACGAGAACAGCTTGGGCGCCGGCGCCGTGTCGCGGAGTGACACCGTGTCCGCCTGGGGATTAACATAAGTACCCAACTTAACGACTGGATCATCATCCGACTGACGAACTTCCATACATGAACATCCGTCATTTAGAGAGTACAATTTTGTATCTAGTTTAAGTACAGTCTAAGCATCTATTACTTAGTAAGATGTTTCGTGATCATCATCTGATTCACAACATACATTTACGTTAATATTTGAAATATAGAAGAATGAATATAAGAATATTTCTTTTATGTAGATCTTAAAATTTTGCATAATCTATGAATGACTTAACAATAATTTTATACCTTGAGCCTGGCAGCATGTGCCCTGAGTTTGGTCTCCAGCTGGGGCCCCCAGCGGGCCGCGGGGGCGGGGCCCTGCAGCGCCTGCAGCCAGGGGCCCGGCGACAGGAGGGGCTGGCCCAGGGTGCCTCCATCAGACTCCAGGCGAGCCAGGAGTTGGAGCGCTACTTGTTCTGTAGCTGCGCGCTGGAATAATATTTTATATATTAGTAACTTCTAGCCTATTTTAGAAGCTCGACAGTTTGTTACCGCGGCCTCACAGAAAACCGGCGTGAAACAATAGGTGCATTGTGTCGTCCATATTTACCCGCTTGCTATTATTATTGGTTACTACTTCACCGATGTTTCCAACGTCAGATAAATGACAATGACCTGTATGGAGCGTGGAGCCTTTTTATACTTTCGCGGCAGTTGGTTGGATGAGGAATAACACATGCAGAATAACATTAGAAACAAAAAAATATACAGTCCGAACCGAGTTAAGTCAGTTCATAGATGTAAAAGTAGTGCTATATTATTCCTGTTATTTTGTTGATAGTGATTGGTGACCGTACACAACGCATATTTCTTCATTTACTTGTCAGAAATATTTTGTAATTAATGTTTCTAAACGATTTCAATGAATATAATAAAGCTTATTGTGGACTTTTTTACTTAATGTTTTTTTTTTCGCATTAAGGATACGGGATCAGAAGAGTGTATTTAAATAAATGAACCTTTTACCGGCCACTACTCAAGTAAAAAAAACATATCGCTTGATTGCCCAGCGTCTTTACTTTATATGTTATGGCCTATGACAGATTTTCATGACCAATTTCCTTTCGATTGAAACCCCGCAAAATACTTTACTGAACTCTATAATGAAATGCTCTGTTAGTCAACTACGGCTCCAGTAGCGAATTGAGTAGCGGCGGTCGTCAAAACACGTAAAAAATATTTTTCTGTCGACTTCTCCCGACTAGTAACTATTATAACTACTATACGGCTAAAAACTCAACCCACCATTAGTACCGCAGCTAACGCTCACGTACGACAATGAAACACCTCCTTGAAGTATCCCACAAGTTATCGACTGAGAGAAAATAGGTGACAAAAATCAATGCCTGGCATATCATCCATATTGTGGTGTGATATAGTGTACCTACCAATGTGACTTTTTCCGAGTTATATGTACTTTCTAAGATTATTTAGACACCACTGACAAACGGTAAAAGAAAGCATCGTGAGGAAACCTGGGGTTATAATTTATAATTATAAGTTTGAAATCACCAACCCGCATTGAGCAAGCGTGGTGATTAATGCTCTAAGCTTCGTTCTACGTGTGAGAAGAGGCTTTGCCCAGCAGTGGGCATTTATAGGCTGTTGATGATAGTGTAACTGTGCCAGGCGTACAGTAGCGCGTAATGTAAAGTCAGGAATTGTGATAAAAATATGAATAATTTGAATAAAAATGACAATATAAAATGTTCGACTCCACTCCTTTCAACGCTCATAACTCAGTCCGGACTGAGATTTTGATATATGAGCTCATAGACAAAATCGGTTGTAATATCATTCTAGATAATATTTTCCATAAATAATCGACTGCCGCCAGAAAAAAGAAAGGCACCAATTTTAGTCAATGCCCTTTAACTGAGGAATAACTTTGAATATTTGACAATTATTCCACTTTTGAAGTGTGGGAGAGCCATGCTTCGGCATTGCTGGGCCGGAGTGATACCACCAACGAGTAATATCGTAAACCGACGAGAAACCACGTTTGTGTAATAAAATGTTAAGCCGTGTCGTGGCGTGTGTGTCTGGCGCGGTCTCTGCCAGTGCCAGTAACACTATGTATGTACCTGGTGCGAGTGTGTGTCTGGCGCGGTCTCTGCCAGTGCCAGTAACACTCTGTATGTACCTGGTGCGAGTGTGTGTCTGGCGCGGTCTCTGCCAGTGCCAGGAACACTATGTATGTACCTGGTGCGAGTGTGTGTCTGGCGCGGTCTCTGCCAGTGCCAGGAACACTATGTATGTACCTGGTGCGAGTGTGTGTCTGGCGCGGTCTCTGCCAGTGCCAGTAACACTATGTATGTACCTGGTGCGAGTGTGTGTCTGGCGCGGTCTCTGCCAGTGCCAGTAACACTATGTATGTACCTGGTGCGAGTGTGTGTCTGGCGCGGTCTCTGCCAGTGCCAGTAACACTCTGTATGTACCTGGTGCGAGTGTGTGTCTGGCGCGGTCTCTGCCAGTGCCAGGAACACTATGTATGTACCTGGTGCGAGTGTGTGTCTGGCGCGGTCTCTGCCAGTGCCAGTAACACTATGTATGTACCTGGTGCGAGTGTGTGTCTGGCGCGGTCTCTGCCAGTGCCAGTAACACTATGTATGTACCTGGTGCGAGTGTGTGTCTGGCGCGGTCTCTGCCAGTGCCAGTAACACTATGTATGTACCTGGTGCGAGTGTGTGTCTGGCGCGGTCTCTGCCAGTGCCAGTAACACTATGTATGTACCTGGTGCGAGTGTGTGTCTGGCGCGGTCTCTGCCAGTGCCAGGAACACTATGTATGTACCTGGTGCGAGTGTGTGTCTGGCGCGGTCTCTGCCAGTGCCAGGAACACTCTGTATGTACCTGGTGCGAGTGTGTGTCTGGCGCGGTCTCTGCCAGTGCCAGGAACACTCTGTATGTACCTGGTGCGAGTGTGTGTCTGGCGCGGTCTCTGCCAGTGCCAGTAACACTCTGTATGTACCTGGTGCGAGTGTGTGTCTGGCGCGGTCTCTGCCAGTGCCAGGAACACTATGTATGTACCTGGTGCGAGTGTGTGTCTGGCGCGGTCTCTGCCAGTGCCAGTAACACTATGTATGTACCTGGTGCGAGTGTGTCTGGCGCGGTCTCTGCCAGTGCCAGTAACACTATGTATGTACCTGGTGCGAGTGTGTGTCTGGCGCGGTCTCTGCCAGTGCCAGTAACACTATGTATGTACCTGGTGCGAGTGTGTGTCTGGCGCGGTCTCTGCGAGTGCCAGTAACACTATGTATGTACCTGGTGCGAGTGTGTGTCTGGCGCGGTCTCTGCCAGTGCCAGTAACACTATGTATGTACCTGGTGCGAGTGTGTGTCTGGCGCGGTCTCTGCCAGTGCCAGGAACACTATGTATGTACCTGGTGCGAGTGTGTGTCTGGCGCGGTCTCTGCCAGTGCCAGGAACACTCTGTATGTACCTGGTGCGAGTGTGTGTCTGGCGCGGTCTCTGCCAGTGCCAGTAACACGTCGTATGTCTCGAGCGCTCGGTCGGCGGCACGCAGCGCGCAACACAGCGACACTGACGTCGACTCCGATACTGCGCACGCGCAGTATAGTCTGAAACAAACAAGCATATACTTAGAGTCTTGCTCTAATTTTATCAAAAACTGTAAAGTTACAGGTTGTATAATCCGCCGTATTACATTACGGCTAGACATTGAGAAGCAACGCCACTTTAGAATACGGCGGTGCGTCGGTTTGGCATATTGTCAATGCAGAACGTTCTACAATATGGCGGCCCACGTTTAGCCTCATTGTAATTATTTAGTATTGTGTTAAAATAATTTATTGTAAGAAAATAATAATTACAAAGTGGCTAAACGTGGGCTAATAACAATAGTAAGATAAAAAAACAATATGAGTGACGTACCTGTGCGCGGTGTCGGCGGCGCGCGCCAGTGCGCAGTGCAGTACGCGCGCCAATATGTCGTAAGCTATGAGCGACGTACCTGTGCGCAGTGCAGTACGCGCTCCAGAATGTCGTTAGCTATGAGTGACGTACCTGTGTGCAGTGCAGTACGCGCGCCAGTGAGTCGTAAGCTATGAGTGACGTACCTGTGCGCAGTGCAGTACGCGCGCCAGTATGTCGTAAGCTATGAGTGACGTACCTGTGTGCAGTGCAGTACGCGCGCCAGTATGTCGTAAGTTATGAGTGACGTACCTGTGCGCAGTGCAGTACGCGCGCCAGTGTGTCGTAAGCTATGAGTGACGTACCTGTGCGCGGTGTCGGCGGCGCGCGCCAGTGCGCAGTGCAGTACGCGCCGCTCGGCCCGCAGCCGCGCGCACCGCGCCGCCCACACGCACCCGCCCTCTACACACACAATCAGGAACATCATTTACTGACTTCAAAGAAAATTGGTTCTCAATTTGACTTAATAACAATAACAAACACTTTTCTGAAAACCCCATCAAAATCGATTCAGCCAATCGCGAGATAATCGCGACAAATATACATTTATGTACAACATACAGGTCAAACTGAGAACCTATTTTTAAGTTAGTTAAAATGTTTGTTACTCTTAGGATAAGGTGTCCGTATATTAATTGACCGACTTTTAAGAAAGAAAGAAAGAATAATTCACCCACATGACATCGTCACCATATAAGTAGACACTGCTGACCACACACACGGAGATGGTTTGAGGATTAAGGGGCCATCCATAAATTACGTCACATTTCATTGTTTACCCCCCCCCCCCCCTCCTCGTCATAGCTGGTCGCATTTGTGACTCTCCTTCCCCTAGTGTGATTTTTTTTTATATATTTAATAGGAGGCAAACGAGCAGGCGTATTACCTGATCGTAACCAATCAGCGCCGTCCATGGACACCTGGAACACCAGAGGAATCAGAGGTGCGTTGCCAGCCTTTAAAAAAGGAATACGCTCTTTTTTTTTTGAAGGTTCGTAGGTCGTATCGGTTCGGAAATACCGCCAACGACAGATCATTTCCCCAGTTTGGCTGTACGAGGCAGAAAGCTACGAGAGAAGCGCACAGTTGTGACCTGCACACCATCTATATGATAGGGAAGCATATGCTGTCATGAGGGTCGATGGTGAAAAGATGCGGCAGGTATCAGGTCAAACAATGCCTAAGAGCACTCCCCGTGGTATAAGCGATAGAAAATGCACAACGAAGCTACATCTCTACGCATCGTCAAAGTGTCTAGCCGGTTTGAAACATCCCGACATCCAACAATCCGAACGGCACGAACTGAATGCGATCCAGAGGAAGAAGCTGGTACTGGGGTGCCCCCGCCCAAAGATGAGAACAGTATTCCATGTGGGGCCGCACCTGCGCCTTATATAGAAGCAGGCGGTGGGCCGGGGTGAAATACTGCCTCGATCTATTGAGCACACCAAGCTTCCTCGAGGCTAATTTGGCCTTATCCTCTAGATGACCGCGAAACTGGACGTCGCTCGAATTGCTGACACCAAGTATTTCAATCCGGCTGAGGCAGTTAGGGGGGTACTTTGAAACTGAGGAGATACGACCAACGGCAGTTTCTTAGCGGTAACCACGCAGACCTGTCTTAGTGGGATTAAACTGGACTAAATTAAGTCCACCCCAATCAGAGATTCTCCCTAAAGAGGTCTCGATTTCGATGACGTTTTCCAGAGAAATGTTAGCGCGGACGACAGCACAGGCGATGCCTACTACACAGGCAACGCCTGCGTAGTACTGATTTGCTTGCAGCATGTCATTGACATGAAAGAGGAACAATGTAGGCGATAGCACGCAGCCTTGAGGGACGCCTGCGTTTACAGGCATCAAGTCAGCATTCACCGTCGACGATAACCTTAATGCTTCTGTCTGCAAGGAAGCAGGAGACCCATTCGCATAATTTCTCGGGAAGCCCGTAAGAAGGAAGCTTCGAAAGAAATGCTCTATGCCAAATCCCGATCGAAGGCTTTCGTCACGTCCAAAGTTATTGCACAACACTTCCCCCTTACAGTCGATTGTCTATCCTCACCGTTAGGTAAACTAGAAGATCACCAGCAGACCGACCTTTACGAAAGCCGTATTGCTGGTCACTGAGCAGCTGATGATCTCTCTAAGTAACGCAGGAGCTGGCAGTTAATAATGGACTCCATTATTTTCGAGAAGAGGGAAGTTATGGCTATTGGTTTGTAGTTGAACGGATTAGATCGATCACCTTTTTTAGGGATCGGGTATACTAAAGCTGTCTTCCATGACGTCGGAACTACGCCTGAAGAGTAAGAGAGCCAAAAAGGACGTGTTACAACTAGAACTAACTCAGGAGCGCATATCTTCAAAACAATGGGTGGGATCCCGACGTACCGAGCGCGCGTAGAACCAGATATCCGGCATGTACGTCCCGCACCACGGTACGACAGGCGGCTCGCGCCCACCGTCATCCAGTGTCGAGTTGGACGCAAAGATTTTTCCCAAAAGTTGAGCTTTATCCCTTGCGTCATGAGCCAATGAATCCACACCCGTATGTAGAGGTGGAATTGGCGGCCTGCAGAAATTGCCCTCGATAGCTTGAGCGAGCGACCAGAATGCATGAGACGTTCAAGCCTCTCACCAATTCTACCGATGTGCTGCGACTTGGCCCCCACAACAGCTCTTTTGAAGGACTTGGAGGTAAAGTTACACCTTTTTAGTGCACTGGTATTTACATCCCGTGCCAACACCGTATTGACCCAGGCTTGGTAGGCCTCCCGCTTTCTGCGTGAGGCCTTTCTGGTAGAAGCACCAAACCAGGGCCGATATCTGCCACCGAAGGGGACCAGAGAAGATGGGACGAAAACCTCCATCTCCTGCAGCACCACATCAGCAACAGAATCAGCAGCAGCGTAGGGATCATCCTGCAAGAAGCAAACCCGCTTCCAAGGGTAGAATGCCATACACGGCAACCGCGTGCCTCTTGTAATCGCGGTGAACACATACAAGACACAGAGCCCCGGATAAGGCAATGTTCCGATGAGCCAAGAGGGGCATCAACGGATACGCTGTAGCCGTCCGGGTGAGAGGTCAGCAGAAGGTCCAACAGTGAAGACCTCTGGCCCTCCACTTCTGGGATTCGCGTGGGCGCGGTCACCAGTTATGTCTGGCCAGAAGCTAGGGCAACAACGTGGACAGATCTCTCCGCGTGGTCAGTCTTACTGGAGCAAAGCCAGTCGGCGTGATGGGCGTTGAAATCGCCAAGCCATTGGATAGACAGGTCCCTACCTTCAAGATTACTGAGGCGACGGGACCTGATATCGTCCCTGACGTACACGCATACCCCGGCCCTAGGCAGGAAGGAATGTTCCAGTCCATACCCAGGGTAGGTGAGGTAGGATGTGTCCAAGGAAGACAATATCTGCGTCTCAGTCAAAAAGAGCAAGGCGCCCGCCTTGCTCTGTTGTTGTTCTCTCTAGGGGGGTGATGGACAGCATTGAGGTTGGTGTGTAGTCCCCTGATGTAGCAGAAGTCCACATGCAGCGTGGTATGGTTATTCTACTCTTGTCTCCAGGTTTACAATGCGTAGTTTTGCATACACATATAAAGGTTTTTTTTTAAAGGGACAGCCCCGCCACAGCCTCCCAAAACCGCTGCAACTCCTGTAAGCCAGGATCTACAGTAGATACAACCATGAAAACACCGGAACATTGAAGTCCGGCGCGTCCCAGGGACATGAATAACTGTCTCGGTTCCTGCAACGAAGTGAATCAGAATATATTATAAGAGGAGAAGAAAAAAAACAATAGTTTCCACTTCCCTCGGTGAATTACTGCAGGAGACAGAATGAAGCCTAAAGGCCCAGTCGCCAAGTACCACGGAAATTTGACTAAAATCTAAGTGGGTCCTATGTGTGAGCTGTTATACTTGCTTCCAATAATAGGTATGGCAAAAGCGCCTAAACGCACGGAAATTCGTTCTAGATTCCACATGGTCCGTATAATAAGCTACACCTGACGAAACAATTAAATTATTTAACATAGTGTTACGTTCATATTGCCAGAGCCATATATAGGTTGTACAGCTATGTTTTTGATGTGACGTCACCAAGGTTTAAGACCCTTCCCTCCCCCCTTATTACATAATGTCACACTTCGTCGACCCCCTACCTCCCGTGTGACGTAATTTGGCAATAGACTCACCCCCTATTACATGGGACTCATAACATAAACAGTGAAAAGTGGGTGTTACATTGTACAGTGGCATTAAGTGTCTGTATTAAGTCCCTTCGGGGATAAAAGGCATGATGTTATGTACAAAAAAAGGAAGTGTATAGTATACGTACCCTGGTCCTGCGCAGCGAGCAATGCTTCCCTGAGCTCTGCGTGTGCGCATACATCTACTGACAGCTTGTCTGCACTCCACCACTGGAATCAAACATTTGAAACAATAAGAATTTAAGAATACTAGACATTTTAGTGTTATAGATCTCGTGAAAAATTTCGTAAGTTTAAACGTAGGTTATAATACATATGGTCTTTAAAATTGGTCCGTATAAAATTATTCAAAAAATTACAAATTCTATTTATAACATAGATACAGGTCATAAAAAATCTGAATCAAATCTGTTTCATATCACTAAACTCATTCCATTACCTACCTAATTAAGAAGGTGATTTATATCGTTTATTATAACTTAAGTTAGGAATATATTATTGTTAGTTTAACTAAGTATATAAGAGAATTTTATTATGTTATTTTAACACAAATCAGTTTATTTGAACTATTGTGTGTAACAGTTAAAAAAAAAAGATTTTTTTTTATTTTTGGGAAGGGGGAGATGTAAAGAAATTATATTTTCTTTAATAATTATTGTTCATATGAGATTTAAGTAATTAAACTTTTTTATGTTACCATAGATAACATTTAGAATCTATGGATTGAGAACTGTCAAAACAAGAGACGTGTTAATTGAATATCTTACGGAATGTAATTATAATAGATAAAAGGGAGAATTTGGAATTTAAATAATAGGCTTAATCGTTGTTTCTTTGATTTACAGGTGAGATGATCATTATTATTTTATTACTAGATTGTTAGTGTACCCAAATATGTTATGTTTTTGTTAAATAAAATCTTTGATTTACAGAGCAACACGTGGTTTGTTATTTCTACTTCAATATCTCCAAATAATCCAACCATTACACATATAAAAGGATTATATTTCATCGCTCGTTAAAAATATTGTCGTTCGAATGGGTCTTGTCTCGCAGTAAGTATACTCACATCGTCATGTTGCGGACTGCTGGAGTCCGACTCCTCCGTCTTACGGAGCTTCACGCGGGACGCCATCTTGGCCTGCCGGGACTCGCACCGACCTGTCAGCCAATATTGTACTCTAATGTAAATGTAATACGGTGTATTGTAGCTTGGCGTTTATATTGCAGTGTGTTACACCGACCTGTCAGCCGATACTAGACACTATAGACATTGTTATAGTGTGTATTGTAGCTTGTTATGTAACTTTAATTTCACAAACATCGTCAAGCTGCAACCGATTGTAACACCTACGCAATAAAGCATAGAATACGTTGACAAGTCCACTACATACATACCAGTACAAGGAGTGTAGAGTGTAGGCGAGTCAGGTGATCCCCTCTCCCTCTCGCAGCTGCCCCCCGCCTCCTCGCTGGCCCCGCCCCCCGCGCCGCTAGCCCCGCCCCCTAACGTGTCCGAACCAACCACGTTGTCGCAACAACTGGAACGATACAAGAGCAGTGATTGAGCGAGTGACTGATAAGTGAGTTAATGAATAAATGAATGAATGAATGGATAGGTGAGTGAGTGGGAGTGAGTGTGTGTAATTGGCGAGTAGTGAGCTTATAAGTAGTGAGTGAGTGTGTACTATGTAGTAATACCGTGCAGTGCTGAGACAGAGGTCGGAGTCCCTCTCGGAGAGGTTGAGGCTAGTGTCGCACTGCTCCGCCAGAGAGGGGGTCGTCACTTCCACGCGTGGACAGTCCGCCCTGTGGTAAACAAAGATACTTTCACACTCAAACATCTTCATGACTGTGCAACCAATCAGATGAATCGTAAACGACAAATAATTAATGGCGACATCTATAGTCACATACTGTCAAACAATCAAAGGTAGTTCAAGAATCAACTAACAGATGGCGCGCTTCACAATTTTGCAAGCTAATCAACTATCGACTATTCTTACTTGATATCGTGCGCGCTGGTCTCTGTATCGGTCGGGAGGTCTTCAAAGGTGGCTGGTATTGTGTTCTCTACTTTAGACTCCTGAGGGGTTGGTAGCTCAGGACTTAGAGCTGATGATGTGTCGTTCTGTAAAATGGTTAAGTACAACTTATTAGATTAATATGCATTGAGATACTATCATGGAAAATAAGTCCAAAATCGCGGTTTCGCCTCAAGTAAGCGTAGAGTAGCGCTGGTGACAAACGTATTTAACTCTACAAGGCGTATCCTCATGATGTCAAAGTATGTTACGATATAAGACAATATGGGACAATAAGTTCCCTCACCTGGTCGGTGCGCGAGTGGTCAGCGTCGTTGTCGAGCTCGCCGGCCGGCTGCGTCGTCGACTCGCACTCGTCTGTAATCATACGTAAAAGCTTCGTTATTTTAACCTTTCAGTTTCATAGCTTTCTATACTAGCTTCTGCTAGAGGCTTCGCCTGCGTTCGCGGATAGATAGTGGGATAGTCAAGTAGTACATTCAATTTACAAAGCATGTTTCTTCTTGTGTGTTCTTAATACGACTTTATCAAGTAAGGTTACTGTTGACCCGTTAGATTGGCCTGCCCAGTTCCCGGATCTAAATCTAATTGAACATTTGTGGGATATTAAAAAAAAATCAGAACATCAAAAACTGCATCAAAACACGCTTTAGTTCAGAATGGGAAGCGATTTCTCAAGAGGAATGCGTAAACCTTGTACGCAGTATGCCTCACAGAGTTGCTGCTGTGATAAAATCAAAGGGTGGCCCAACAAAATATTAATATTTTTGTATGTTTTAAATGAAATAAAGTTAATTAATCAACAAAAGTAGTCTTGTTTCTCTCTAAATCAAGAATATAAATGGTGCCTAATACTTTTGGCCAAGGCTGTATATATCATCTTGGACATTTTATTATGTTTTTTTTATCGAATGAGCCGGTAAATGAGTAGACGGATCACCTGATGGTAAACAATCGACGCCGCCCATGGACACCCGAAACACCAGAGATGTTATATGCGTTACCGGCCTTTTGGGGATTATTGGAGAATTGGGGATTGAGGAGGGTAATTGGGCCTCCGATAACCTCACTCACATGACGATCACAACGCAGGCGTTGGTTTACGTACCTGACACATCCTCCTCCGGTATCGCCCGCGCATGTTTGTCATGCGCGCGGCGTCGCACGAGCTCTGCAATGACGCCGTGTAACTCCGCGAGGCGCGCGTCGTGTGCCCGCGCCGCTGTCGCCGCGCGTTGTCGCTCGGCTGCTAGTGCTCGAGCTAGCGCGTCCCGCTCCGCGCGCAGTGATGCCACGTCTTCGCGCCCGAGCTCTGACCCGCCACCTGGCGAAAAAATTGTGACTTACATACAAAATAGTCCGAGAATGTAAAAATAGATGGCGCGCTCCCACAATCCACTATCTGTACGCAAATTAGATAGAACTTAATTAGATAATACACAAAATGTATAAATATTTGATAGTAGCTGGACAAGCATGATCACAGCTTGATGAAAGTAAAGTCCCTATACAAATTACACATAATTATCTGTCAAACCATGACACCACCACCAGTGTTAAGTTGTTCCCGCGACGTACCGTCATAGTAAGCGTGTGCGGCGCAGAGTTGTTGGGCACAGGGGGCGCTGTCACAGGTCGCAGACTGGAGTATCGCCAGAGGACTCGCGGGAGATCTCCTCGTCGGCACGTTGGGGCAGCACAGGTACCAACTGCGACTGCGACGCACGCCACTAGCGCCATCTAGTTGCGACAGCGGCAACCTCCCCACAACTTCCAGCTCCGCCAGTAATGGTTCTTTCTCCTTCGGCTCGGGCATAGGAAACGTGCCCGCTGTGGAATACGTGTCCTCTTTGCGGGAGTATTCAGGCAGACTCCGCTGGCGCCCTCTATCGCGGAGTGGTGGTACTTCTCGTACGGCGCCATCGTCGGCTACGTCGCACGCTGCGACATACTCGCTGAGCGCAGTCGGCGGGGACTGAGCGGGCGCAGGCTCGCTGCGTTTCAGCCGCTCGAGGTCCGCGTAGTAATACGCCGTGGACCGCGGCGGCTCCTCGCACACTACCGCCCTCCCCGCCACTGTTTGTATCTTCATCACTAGATGGCGCTGATTACATCTTGCGTCTGTGTGGACAATGTAGTATGTCAGAGTATGGTCAACTATAGTGGCGAAATGGTTGTGTTGTAGCGAGCTCCGGCGGTCTTCATCGTTGTAGCAATGAGGTCTGTATGAGGTCTTAACATTTTTTATTTTTAGGGTTCAATAATTTGACACAAGAGTATGTTGAAGTACAAATAACGTCTGACTGGCTATAAAGGACAATGTTAGTCTAGAGTTTAGTATAAACGGACAGCCGAAATCAATAACTACCTGATTTAGAACCAAAATCTGACCTTTTGAAACTAAGATCGAAGCTATAATAAGGTAGTTTCCAAAATTGTCTTTTAATGTCCGTCTGGTAGATTAATTAAATAAAACATTAGGCACGTATTTTTTCTTTTCTCACAAAATTAAATACTTTCGACGGTATATTATCTGATCGAAATATCGTTTGAAATATTTTTTTGAAATATCGTGACGTCACAACGTGCTAAATTTTGTAGCACTTGATGACGTAACGACCACCCACTCCTAAACCTAACGCCATTTTATCTAAGTATTAGCGACCCGCCCCGGCTTCGCACGCTTGCAATATGCATGTGTTGTACATATAAACCTTCCTTAAACTGTCAAACACCAAGCGGTCACCGGTGACCGCGACCTATTGTTCTTTAATTGTGTCTATAAAACCGGTACTCGACGAGTTAAGAATCACTCTATCTATTAAATAAGACCGCATCAAAATCCGTTGCGTAGTTTCAAAGATCTAAGCGTACATAGGCACAGACAGACGACGGATAGCTACTTCGTTTTATACTATGTAGTGATAATAACTTTATAGGAAAAAATAAAAAATACGTGTCTAATATTATTTTTAATTTTCATACCCTGGCAACTACCCTGATGTATTTACGAATAAATAAGAAGTACCTAGCAGAACTGTGTATATACAGCATCACGAATACTTATGTACACAAGACCCATTTAATCGACATCTTTAATTAACAAGATCATCATCATTAGTCTCCCCAATTGATTGCCCATCAACATTTGTGGCCGGTAATACGACGGGCCCTTACGATACGATAACATCAGATAATATTCAGAGCGTGTCATTGCCAGCTCTGGTCGACTGCTGCAGTAAACAAGTCGTGATGATGATGACATTGCCATCAGTCGTAAAGTAATGATCAGTGGTTGATGGCGATGACAAGACACGTCATTTTGCGAACTTAATGATAGGTTTACGATATTATAGAACTTTTAAACTTTACGTGAAATTATATAACATAACGCCTTTTATCCCCGAAGGGGTGGGTAGATAGAGGTGCACATAATGCCACTGTACAATGTAACACTCACTTTTCACTATTATGAGTCCCATGTAATAGGGGGTGACCCTATTGCCATATACCGGGCACATTTCCAGACTCCGTGCTACTACTGAAAAACCCAGTAATACTTTGCCCGACCCAGAAACCCGGAAACCCGAGACCTCGACCCATACGAATCACAAGTGCGTTGCCGACCTTTACTGTAGATGTGTAGATATATACTATTTTATGCAAAAACTGCTGAATGGATTTAGATAAAACTTGGCATAGAAATAGATGAGTAAGCAGGTGAAATTGCGGACAAAACAAAAGCTAGTTTCCAATAAACGTTTTAACCGACTTAAAAAAGGGAGGTTCTCAGTTTCATCTGTATGTATGTCTGTTTGTATGTCGCGATTATCCCGTGATTGGCTGGACCGATTTTAATGCAGTTTTCAGAAAAGTGTTTAGTACACTTAGGAGAAGGCTTTAGTATATTATTTAACCGACTGAAATAGAAAGAGTTTGAGGACGCACCCTATTTTAGCTAGTGTACCAAAGATACGACTAATGGAAAAGTCGACTAGCAATAAAAGTGTGGGAGAGCCATGCTTCGACACGAATGGGCCGGCTCGACCGGAGTGATACCACCAACGAGCAGAAAACCATATTGAAACAACGCTTGCGTAGTGTTTCGTCGTGTGAGTGAGGTTACCGGAGGCCCAATTACCCGCCACCGTAGTCTCCCTAATCCCCACAATCCTCAAATTCCCAATTCCCAGCAGGCCCGTAACGCACTTGTAACGCCTTTGGTGTATCAGGTGTCCATGGACGACGCCGATTGCTTACCATCAGATGATCCGTCTGCTCGTTTACCAGCTTATCCCATAAAAGAAAAACAGTAAACTTCGAATACAATAATTCAATATTCTTCTATTAATAGAACTTATCATTACGGTACTATTACGTAATAACGACCTTGGCCCTATACATTGCGGCGCCAATATTACATCGATACCGACCTCAACACGAAGACAAACAGACGGACAGATTACACCAAGTTAAATTAACATGATCGATGTGTTATTGTTCCAACTTCGTGGTATATTTGCAAACGATCCAATGTCTACAGAACAAATTAGTTTTGTTTTCTTTAGGGGACGGCTGTATGCGTTTATGATATCTGTAAAAACAAATTTACGCGAAATATAACAGTGACTTTAGAGTAAAATGCATTTTTTGTATATTTGATGGGCCGACGTTTGTCCACTACATCATCTGGTGGTGCACGATGACGCGGTCTACGATGGAGCGCGTCGTCCCATGAGCAACCTATTCATCAGGCCTTGAAGACACCCAGGTGAAGATACCCTTCAGGAAACACAGACTCTGGCAAAGAATTCCACTCCTTAGCAGTACGCACAAGGAAGCGAAGGGGTAGGAAGAGGTGCACATTAGGTATACTACTGTACAATGTAACACCCACTTTTCGCTATTTATGGGTGAGCCTATTGCCATATACTGGGCACAATTCCAGACTCCGTGCTACTACTGAATTTTTTAAAAATCCTGTAATACTTTGTATTGTGCAAGGGGTCTCGAGACCCCTTGCCCGGCAGGTGCACTTGCGACCACTCGGCCAACGAGGCAGTCAAACTGTTTCCTAACATTTATTTATAAAAATAATAACATTTCACATCGTTGATTCATCTCATAGTTAATGATATTTTCAAGGAATTGGATCATAAACATAAATCAGTAGTATTCCTTTTGATCCGCCACAAGCGTCGTGTTTCCGCGTGCACTCGGTCAAGCACCTCGATTGTAGAAATAGAAACAATACAATCATATAAAAATAGTCCATTCTAGCTGGTACGTACTTGTGGGACGAGATGACGAGGGGAAGAACCTTTATTAACTGAGAACATAATTGTTCTACTAGCTTCTGCTGTCATTTAGCAGCATTTAGCAGTAGTTATCGCCTCGACATTTTATATCGAGACAATATTGTAACACGACAATAATCTGAAGTGTGGGAGAGCCATGCCTCGACATGAATGGGCCGGCTGGACCGGAGTGATACCACCAACGAGTAGAAAACCATAGAGAAACAACGCTTGCGTTGTGTTTAGTCGTGAGAGTGAGGTTACCGTAAGCCCAATTACCCCCCTCCCTAGTCTCCCCAATCCCCCACAATCCCCAAAAGGCCGGTAACGCACTTGTAACGCCTCTGGTGTTTCAGGTGTCCCTGGGCAACGCCAATTGCTTACCATCAGGTGATCCGTCTGCTCGTTTACCGGCTTATCCCATAAAAAAGACAATCCCAGTGCAACTACTGTCAACTAGGATTTAAAGTAGCGTCTCAGGGATACTGGGACAACCGTCTTAGATCTCATGTAACCACCGAGAAGGGGCGGTCAAAAAGATGAACAGATTGCTTGAAGAATGCTATGACAGAAATAGGAGTTTGTGATAGGGTGAACGTCTGATACAAGCAACTGGAAAAGAAGAGGTTTGTTCCGATTCTGAACCAAAGTAATTTGGGATAACCGCCATAACAAAGGTAAGAAAAATGATTTTTGTTATTCTTAAGCCTTTGACGTAGCCTTGAAATGTTCGTCCAGGCAGTAACACGTGCAGCGTGCCTGCATACTGCATCGTTCACAGACCCGACGCCACCGGCCGCTGGCGCACTGCCAACACTGCGCGTGCCGCGAGGATGCTCCGTGGCGCAGGGGACTCATGCTCATTGGTATTGCACGTCGCATATTTTTTATTTATTTATTTAATTTGGGTAACCAATTATATAACAAAGAATACGCTTGCTTCTTGCATCGACAGTTGTTTTTGTCTCTGCATCACCCAAATGTCTGGCTGGAGGAGAATGCCCATGGCATTAAGCCCACTTTGTACATTAGTGTGAGCATGAGGCCTTTTAAAATAAAATAAAAATACCAATTCAGGATATGCTAATACAAAGCCAATTGTAGGTTTCCACGGCTAGCTATATCATATCTTTACAGAAGTGTCGCGAATGCAAAGTAGAAAAATAAGGGTATTAAACTTACTGAAGTTTAAAGTTTAGTCGCCTACGCACATCGAAACTGCTTGTGGTAAATGGACCGATCTAAATATTTGCACAATTTATTAAAATCTAACGTAAACGTTGCCCCACACAAGGATTTCTTCCTGTGTCGTGGGTGTGTATTACAAACATACAAGTTCACATACACATGACATCCAGACCTGGCTCCGGTTCGACGTGCAGGAGAAGGAACGGGGTGGTTTTTAGTCAGTAAGAGTCTGACACTGAGGTGGGAGCAGACATTCGATGATTATCCCCCTTAAAAAAAGGCTTAGTTAACAATACAAGTATCCAAGCACCGAATATTATTTGAGTGTCAGTAATTGCTAAATTCTATAGAAAAGAGTGTAAGAATTTCTGCCTACCACTATGGGAGACAGGCGTGAGGTTATGTTTGTCAATTGAATAGTTAGTATATGTAGTATCACGTTGGTGTCCGAATACCAACACGTCGCCGTACAGTGCAAACAAACAGTAATTTATTTTGTTAGTTTATGCAGATAGTGGCGCTGGCGTCGCTTTGTGCCGACTGCGCCCACTGCTCGGTGACCCGGAGAGTGTACAGGTGACTGCGTTAGTTTTTATACTCAACGGGT